GAAACAGTGGTGATGAATGTGAGAGGAGTCCTGAGGCTCAGTCTCCCCAGAAATGTGTTTACAACATCACCTCCTCTGATGCTGGGACTTATTACTGTGCTGTGGCCACATGTGGACAGATGTTATTTGGAAATGGAACGAAAATGGACATTAAAGGTAACTGCAGGATTTTTAAATTTTTATTTTTTTAATGCAGTGATCAGATAAGAATATGTGTAGCTTTTAATTGAGAATCTGGTAGGACATATTGATTTTGTGAAACATTTGTTTTCCAAATATGTAATCTTACCAAAATAATTGTCATTTTATTTTTGTATTATTTCAGAACCCAACATGTCAGATTTCCCGACAAACAAGACAATTATCTTTCTGTTATCTGCTGCTTTGGCTATTGTTATAGCTCTTCTCATCTTTACCATCAGGATAAAAACTTCTGATTCCTGCCATGGTAATTTAACACTATTTTGCATACGTTAACTATCAGTGTTGCATTATTTACTTGTGTAATTTAACTAACACCATCTTTCATCGTAACTTTCTGTGTTTCTCTGCAAACAGATGCTGCAGGAGCCAGCATTGATCAGAACAGTCCACAGGTACAGTAATGAAAGAAAAGAAGTAACCCTACATTATGGAATTACCATCTGCCAGCTCAATTTTTGTATGTTAAAAAAACATATCGTATTTTTCCACAGAGAAATGAGGAGTCATTGCTTTATTCTGAAGCAATTTTCAACAGGAGAAAAGCTGAGAGAAGAAATGCAAAAGCAGCGCAAGAAGAGATGGTCAGGGCATTTGCAAGAAAATAACAATTAATACACTGAATTTTACACATTTGTAGTAATATTCCTTTTTTCTCTGGCACACTGTGATAAAGTCTCCATGGCTTAAGCAGCACTGGGGCTTGTAGTTCAGTTCTGAAAAAGTAGTATAATATTTCATACATGTTATTTTCTGCATCATTTCAACATTATCATCCAGATCTCAATTCAAGTTTTTTTTTCAAGATTTTTTGCCTGAACATGAAAAGAATCGTTCACTTTCGATCCCTGTGTAACCTGACAAAGTTGTGCAGTTTTGTAAAGAAAAATGTGATAAAATTACAGTGTCCAGATGTGCGAGGTTAACTGAGATCTGTCCAGACAGGCTTTGTGCTATGATTGTTGCCAAGGGTGCATCTGCTAAACATTGACTTGAATGTGTTTGATATTTATGCAATCACTTGTTAATTAAGTGTTGAAAAGTAATAAAAAGCGGAAACTTCCAAGGGGGATGAACACTTTATACTGGCTCTGGTTAATGGCTTTTTCAGAATGCTCACTTCACTTATATGTATCAATGTAACATAAAATAAATCTGCTAAAATAAAGTGATGTTTGTGCACATTTGTTGCGTCTTTCTTTCAAAGAACAAATATTGTAAAAAATAAATAAATAAAAATGGATAAATCTATAAATGAATTTTACATAAAATTTAGAATCTGTTACGCTTTACACTGGCACAGTTTTTTGCTTCAAGATTAATTTGTTCACTAAGATGTGTCTACTATTATCTGACTGAATATTTTTTCTAATGTTTGCATTATTACAGCCACATTTTGACACTGGTAAAATGCCAAATTTAAGATTCACTAAATGCTCGAAACTTGTTTGATCAATGTGATTTGTCAAAATTATTATATAAAACATGAGCAGATGTTTCACAACTATTCCCTACATGTGTGTTAAAATATGACTATATTAAAAGATAGTTTAGACAGAAAGAACCATAGCT